CTGCTCTTTGAAACATGCATGCCATGGTGTCTACAAATCAAATTAGTGGGAAATTCTAAGCAAAACATCTTACACAAATAGTGGATTGCTAGATTAAAAACTAGCCTTTTGCTTCGTCCATGGTTGAACAAAAATATAGCTCGTCCATTTTTTTTGTCACCAGTATTTAGAATTTCCTTGATTTGTTTTGGATATTACATTTTCTTTTGTCCTAAAGTTTCCAGATTGGGAAATGGGAACAATAATACAGGTTGTTTGACCATTCCAAATAAAGATTTTCATCTTAATCGTAAGCTGGAAGGAACATAGAAAGAGAGGAATCTCTACTTTGCCAAAAGCAAACAATTCCTTCTCAAACCTACTTCCCCTATAGCCATTAGCTCAATATACTATTGGTGGTAAAGCAAATGCCCAAAATTCCATCTTATATTAGATTTAGATACAGAGGTCTGAAACTCCCCCCGAATTAGCCACAATGCCACCTGCTGCCCTACATAGGACCCTGCTTGTATCACGGATTCAAGGGGAGTCCTGAATCTCACATTGAACATAATAGGAAGTTCACTGGGATATAAAAGGGTTCACACAACCTCCGCCTTGTGAGGCACCTTTTGTAAGATGAAATCGTGAGGCCAGGGGGCCAGAGCGGACAATATCTCACAAGGGTGTGAACCGTGACGAAAGGCTGATCTGGGACGCCGGAAGGGTGAATGCCCGGGTCCCGGAGCCGCGCGGGTTCGGAGCTTAAGTCTCGACCCGTGACAAGTGGTATCAGAGCCAGTCCTAAACCGTTCGATCCACGCCGAGCGTCTCGAGGGAGGTAGGCAGAGTAGCCGGCCTCCGTGACGAGGGCGTCACGAGGTTGAGTGCGGGAGAATGTCACGGACCTAAGGGGGGTCCTGAATCCCACATCGAACATAATAGGAAGGTCACTGGGGTATAAAAGGGTTCACACCATCTCCGCCTTGTGAGGCGCCTTTTGTAGGACAAAACCGTGAGGCCAGAGGAGCCAGAGCGGACAATACCTCACAAGGGTGTGAACCCTGACAGGTAAGCTGATCTGGGACATCGGATGAATGAATGCCCGGGTCCCGGAACCGCGCGGGTTCAGAGCTTGAGTCTCGACCCGTGACACTTGCTCTTTGCTTAATTTCTTTAATTTTGCAGAAGACAGGTAATGCCATATTTAATGATTTTAGTGATATTTCCATGGCTTTTTTTATCTTGATCAGGTAAATTTAATTCAGTTGTACATTTTTGGTCATACTAGACGCTCAGTTCAGAGAATGGTGCATAGCTGATGAGCAAACTCCAGATGAAGAGTTGCAAAGGGCCCTTGATTGGGCTTGTGGAAAAGGAGGTGCAGATTGCAGTAAGATAAAAGTGAACCAACCTTGTTATCATCCAAATACTATAAAGGATCATGCCTCTTATGCCTTCAACAACTACTATCAGAAGTTCAAGAACAAAGGAGCAACTTGCTACTTCAATTCTGCTGCCATGATCACAGATCTCGACCCAAGTAAGATTATAAACTAATCGCTTTTTTCTTTTAGGTTGAATTTTGGCACATGAAAAAACACAGTCAAATATAAATTTTCTATTTAGTACTGACTATTCCGATTTCTTTCTTCGTTGTCAGGCCACAATTCATGCAAATTTGAATCTGTTCCCTAGAGGGCAAAATCTTTGCAATACATTTCATTGGAAAATAATTACGCGTGATTCCTTTCTGATGATTCAGTCTTTCTTATAAGTTTCAGCGGACACATAACATATGTAGGTTTCAGGATTTTTTTTTCTGTTTTCTTTTCCTGTCATGTTTCAGACTTGCTGGCAACGAGTCCTTTTGGTTTTTACTGCATGTTACTGTTTCCTGATCCATTCAATTTAAAATCTGGTTTGGACTTTCTCACAGCTTGAGAGATAGCAACTTCAAAGCCCAATGGTAGTGTTTTGTTTTGCCAAACCAATCTTTAACTCCTCAATCGGGCTCTGTTATCACCAACCGTCCATCCTGTATTCACAGATAGCCTCTGACCCTCCCTGTATGAATGCTCCATTTGCCTTGATAGGAGAGATTGGTTGAGTAGTAGTGTCATTTCAATTTTCAACTAAAAAGAAAAAAAAGAAAAAGAAAAAATCAATATCTTTTGCATTTAAAGAAGATGAAGAGTGTCATCCCTTTCACATTCATATCCGCTTATATGTAGGTAAATGAAGATAAAATTTAGTATCGTGTTGTTCACAAACCAAGAGATCCTCAAATTAGTATCCTCATCCAGCGAACGTTGATATATACTTTTCAAATTTCAAATCTCTTTCATCACCTTCTATGTTCATTGCCATATCCCAGATAGCTATTGGAAAGATAAAGTCAAAGCTCATCTATATATGGTTGGACAAAGTATGGCGGATATTACCACCCTCTTCGAGAGGCCAACCACCTTCCATTGGAATATCAACTCAGTTTTCAAGCAAACTTTGCAACCCAACACATAGCCGTGGCGGTTAAGTAGATGTAAGGAAGAAGTTAAACTTGTTTTCCTTGTAAAATGTTTGCCTAATAAGCTAGGTTGCATTTTGTATAGTATCGCAAGTAGGTATATGAGTACTAAGATAACAATTTAAGAAACAAAGAGTTCATTTATTTCGGAAATGCGTAACAAGGACTAAAAAAATACTAGCAGTAATTAAAATTGATTTAAAATTGCTACGAGTTAAAAAGGTCTATTAGGTAAAAAAAAAAAAAAATGGTTTAAAGATTTCAATTTTTTAATTTCCTTCAATATTTACAGAAACAAGAATCAATAAAGACGATTAGAGTTATTTTTGCCGAGCAGATTAAAGACAATAGCTTTGCTACAACGAGTACTATATGCAACAGGCAATCTCAGACATATATTAATGAAGAGAACAATGAAAGATAGCATAACCAAAATACTGTTGAAGACAAACTGGATGATTATGTACGTGGTCGAAAATCCAGATGATTATTTTTATGTAAAATGAATACTACGTGTCTTTATTTATTTGTCTTTTTTAATCATAAATTCATAGTTGAAACTTCTGTTTGTGGTGGAATTTTTGTCAATTTTAATCAGATATCGAGGGGAAGAAGTGGAAGAAAAGAAATGTAAAAACATTATTTTCTTGACAAGAGATCATCGTTATACTAGTACTACTAAATCATCATTATACTACTATTATTAGTAGTAGTTATGTGCACTTCCAAACAATGCAAATGAAATGGAAGAGTAGACAAAGATGGGAGAAGGCTAGTCACTACTCGGTACCAGTGGCTCTACGTACAGGCTGAGATTTGAATGGATATTAAATTACAAAGTTGGCTGCTAATGGAATGGAGTTGGTGGAAGTGGATTTTCTTGTAGTCAAGTTTAATCCGATAGCTTTTGCTCTTGGCATCCACTACCACATTACGCGTCTACGCCGCGTGTTGGCTTGAATTATTGCAATCAAACAGGTATCCTAGTCTTCCAAAGAAGGAGATCTCCGTAGCTCTAGTGCAAACATGGCCTGCCCTCCTAATCGGCTTAGACCCTTAGTCCCTAGCCTTCTCCTTTGAACCAAAGGCAATCATTGGCAAACGCAGATGAAAGGCGCGTGGTGTTGTTACTTGACAGGGAGCTTTTCCTAGCATGTTTTAAGTGGTAACACGTTACATCATAATAAAAGTACACCACTTTAATCATTATCAGCTTTACCCTTGCGTGTTTTCTTTTAACTACTAGTAGGTTTCAAACGGAGGAGGGATTGTTCCGTTGTCGAGGGTAATTCAATGTTTATGCATAACAGAGATGGGTCACTTGTTAAATTCAAACACCAGCCTTGTTCAGTGGGAAGGCTTTAAGGCACTCCCTCACCGTATCTGACCCCTTCTCGGAACAACAAAACTGTTGTCTCTTCTAGAAAAAGAACTCCAAGGAAAACATGTTGCTTCTGTCTCACTCCATCATTGCCATTGTTTCATCAACGTGTGATAATTTTGATAAATAATACTATATAAAAATAATATAAAAAATCATATATATTTAAAAAATATATTTCATATTTATTTATATTAATATAAATTTTAATATGATATTATTTATATTGTATGTATATTAATTCATTTACATATATGATATGAATACGTTTAATTTAATTTTATCATATATTTAATATATTTAACATATTTTTATATTTATTTTATTATAATATTAATATATAAAAATTATTTAATTTTTTATTTTTTAATTATAATACTTAATTAACTATTTAATATCATAAAAAATTATTTTAAATATTTAATTATGATATTTATTTAATAATTATTATAAAATTATTTTTTATATTAAGAATGTAAAATAATATAAATATAAATATTAATCTTATATATTGTTATTTTATTTTTAATTTTTAATAGTTTATCATTTTGAATTTAATATTAAAAATTAATATAATTATGTAATATAAATTAAATTTTAAATATATATTAATACATATTAAATGAGTATTAAATTTTTTATTTTTTTTAAATATAAGTTTTTTTATTATTAATATATCAAATTTATTAAATTATAAATGATAGATAGTTTATAATTATTTATTTTTTTAATTATATTTTGATTTATATTTATATTAGTAATATTTATTTTTGTATATTTATATTAATCGTATTTATTTATATATATTTATATTATTTATGTTTATTCATGTTATAATTAAATAAATTAATTTTATATATATTAATCGTATTATATCACATATAATACATATTTTAAATATATTTCATTCATGTTTAAAATTTAAAAATATTTATAATTCAAATTATATTTATATTTTAATAATTATATCTTTATACATATCAAATACAATATAAAATATAACAAAAAAACATAAAATGTCCAGGTCATCGTTTTACTTTTCCCACCCTTGAATGCAATATTAAGCGCCATTTAATGCCCCACTGTGTAGAGATGAGCCCTTTGCCTCTACGTCTCGTGCGTTATTTGAGCCTCTTACTTTGACCACACTTGGCAACCCACAGTCCTACAGCAAAGCTCCATCACCAAATATCTGGAAATCAATTTTAAAGAAAAACAAAATTCCATTTATTTCCTCTTTTCATAATTTTTGAAAAAGGGGTACCACTCAAAAAGTAGGAAGCTGTTTAGTATTTACTCTTTAGTCTCTAGTTTGGCTCATGTCTATTTAAGCAGTGGTGGGTTGTTGCGTTGTCCGGTAAGTGTACGTGCGTCGTGCTTTAAGAGTTCTTGTCTGGGCTAGTCTGTTTCTTTCTTCTCTATAGAGTGTTGGATTTCGGCAAAAAGATGAATTATTTGGTTGTTGGTGTTAGTCCTGGGAATGTCCCTGTATACCATGGCACTAATTTGAAGGTGATTGATAGAAGAGTGAGGATTGCAGAGTTGGTTTTGAGGTGCCTGATATGTGGCTTAAGTGTTCTTGCTGCTATTCTTGTGGGAACAGACACTCAAGTCAAAGAAATCTTCTCAATTCAGAAGAAAGCTAGATTTACAGACATGAAAGCTCTTGTGTAAGATTCTCCGTCTCTACCCCTCTAAGACTGAGCAGTCCAATGGTTTTATGTAAAACTCATAAGTTTCTTGCTTTTCTTGATCAACTTTTGATGTACGTTTACGTACGCAGGTTTTTGGTGGTAGCCAATGTTGTAGCTGCAGCCTACTCATTCGTACAAGTGGTTCGTTGCGTTGTGGGTATGGTAAGAGGAATTGTGCTTTTCAATAAGCCCTTGGCTTGGGCTATTTTCTCTGTAGATCAGGTAATTTGTCCCTTCTTGGCCTTCTCTTTGCATGCATTTCCCCCATAGCATACATGGAAATGCCTAATAGCTAATGTTGCCTTCGTCTTTTTCTGTTAGTAGTTGCAATTGGTATATATGTGTTTCAGGTTTACAATTATCCATGTATATTTCCAAAATTGGTTGAAGGGTTCATTCAGGCAGACTACTGAATTTACATAGTTTTGGCTGATTGCATGCTTGCTTCCTTTGTAAAAAGAAAAAAAAAATCAGAATTGCACGCTTAGTAGATCGGAAAAGAAGTTGAAAAAGGAAAGAACAATAATTTTAAGAGCAATTACCAAATTTTAACTAAACTAGGTGCAATAAATTGAAAGAGAACAATAATTTCTTTTTTTTTTCTTTCAAATGCTAGACTTCCACCGCAAAAGAAAAAGGAAAGAGAAAAAAGTAAGGTTGGTCGACGCACATTTGCTATTAGACTAGCATTCAATGTTCAAGTTAATGTAATCGTCAGGGTGGTTGGTAATTGCTGTTAAGCCTTTATATCACGGTAGTGCCTTGAAAAATGAAAACCCTTGTAATCGTACAATAGTAGGAGAATTCCAGCTACAAAATAATAATAAGAGGAAGATGAAGATCATCAATGGGAAGAAACAACTAAACCCACATTGATGAAATATGTAATAACATTGTAATAAATATGAAATAGACGTTTGGAAACTCATTCAGTGCTTTTTACGAGCTACACCACCAGCGGTGGACCTCTAGTCAGTTTTCTCTGCCAAAAAAGGTTGGTCATTGGTGTTGTTGTATGGAATTATTTCTCATTCATTATTGTTACTTTGTAATAGACAGCTAATGGTTGATATTAAATGTTGGAGCTGAAGCTGGTATATGGAGTAATTAGTTCACACTTCCCCCACTAGACCGACACAACTGAGCTACTGGATTTTTCCTTTGAAAAATGCTTTTATTTTTGTGTATGAAAAATAACATGATTTTTGTCCAAACAATTTAATGCACCAGACAGAATCTTCACGCGGTTTCGAAAATCTAACTCTGTGGTGATATGCTAGCTAATAATGCATATAAAAAATAATGTTAATATTGGAGAATTCTATTGTAATTCACACTTGCAGGACTTAGATTTGTTTTTTAGGTTCATTTGATTTTAATGCATACCTTAACACCCTCCCAGCAATTCTATTTTTGACCTTGAAGGAGGGGATATAGGAGCCTTGATTTTGTGCCATATCAGGGCCAGTTATGACCAGGCCATTGGAACTGTTCTTTTGAGATTATTCGTTGGTATATACCTGGAGAGAGCCGACATAAAGACCATTTTCTCTGTGGTAGTACCGTGTTGGCCTGAAACAATGCTGCATAATCCATTTAATTGCTTGGTTCAAAATCAAGAGCTTAGTCTACAAAATCCATTCGAACATTGCCTTACTCTAAACTGGATATGTATTTTGGCAGAAGTGAGCTTCTAATCATTAAAATATCATGTTCATGCAGGCCATGGCATACTTGAATGTGGCTGCCGTGGGGGCTACAGCACAGTCAGCAGTGTATGCTAAGTTGGGGCAAACAGAGCTTCAGTGGATGAAGTTATGCAACATGTACGGAAAATTTTGTAACCAAGTTGGGGAAGGAATAGCAATGGCACTACTAGTTAGTGTTAGCATGGTGTTCCTATCTTGTATCTCTGCTTTCAGTCTCTTTCGATTATATGGTGGCAACAAAGCCAAGAACAATCCCGGGTTGTAGAATTTGGGTTAGCCAAAACTGCCTTGTTTCACTTTCACAGGCTCGTTCCCAAGGGTTGTGTAATTTTATCCGTCATATATATTTGATATAATGATGATAAAAAAAAAGTGGGCTGTATCAGTTATGACTCCCATTTGACAATAAATGAAGTTTGGGTTTTGTAGAGAACGACGATTTGATACTTACTAAAGTCAGTTAAATATTTCATGATAATTGATCAAATATATTTTTTTTAACAATTATTAACTTAATTTATTATTAGCCAAAGGAGTATATGGAGGAACGTTAGATGTCCTGGTAAGGCTACAAAGGAAATCTTAAAAAAAAAAAAAAAGAAGATTTTGATAAGAGTTAAGAAGGATAAGAAAATAATGGAGTAATTAATTTGTAACTTCTTGTGAGCTATGTATTGTTTCCACATGTTAACGTTTGATTATGGGATGATCATGTTGTTCGCAAGAATTAATGTTATTGTTGAAATATTGAAAGGTTAGTTTTTTAACCCGAACCGGAAATATTTATTATATTTTTGTAAATTTAAAATTTTAATTTATATTAATTTTCTTATTATAAATATAAATAAATAAAAATATTCATAAACATTTATAATTTATAATAAAAAATTACAAAAATAGTCTAAATATAAATTATTTTGTAAGAATCTAAATAAGCATTATGCAAGCTTTGAATTATGAAAGTAAAATTAAATATAAAACTCAATGAGAAAGTTATCTCTTGTTTACAAATACATATACTTTTAAAAATATATATTATTTATGTAAATAAAGATTTACGCATGTGACATATTATTTATTGATTGAAAGCCTTGATTTTGTTTGTTTATTTTTTAATTTTTGGGTAGCAAATTTATAAATTTTAATTTGATATTTCAATAAAAAAATAGCCTAATAATTAGAATTTATCATCCAATTAGTGGAGGTAAAGATTATTATTTATATGATTTTGAATTCAAAATGTTTTATAAAAATCAAATAAATTCACAATATTCATAATTAAATTTAGTATTTCAACACCAACATAAATATTATTCATAGTCCAAAAGTGCCTAAAGAAAAGTGACATATGAATTGTGATTACGTACTTATATATTAAATTATTAAATGATAAACGTTTATCTTCTTTCTTTTTTTTCTCAGAAGAAATGTATTATCTTGTAATATGATTATAGGCTTAAATTAAGATTTATGATTTTAACTGTTAGATAAATTGTGAATAATTTGGTCAAAATATAGCAGCAAATTAAAAATAATCAAATAGGCAATATGAATTTTAAAAAACATATATATTTTTATCAATTTAGTTTAATTAGATTAACTTAAATAAATTTATTTAGCCAACTTTCTAAGGATTAATTGGTCTAAAATTATTTATATTCCATATAATAAATAATACTATTTTACCTAAATTCTAAGAAACAATTTGGTAAGAAAACATTTGAAAGTAAAAAAATAATTTGTTATTTTCTAATTTTGAATTAACAAAGAAAGATTTTATTTTGTCTATTATATTTTTCTATTAATTTCATATATAAGAGATTGTTAATAAATTATAAGCAATAAGATAAAAAAGATTTGTTTAACATATCAAAAGTAAAAATTCAATCAAAATAATAAAACATCAAAAGATAAAGGCTTAATACTTAAATATACCCTCAACCTTTTGTACAAAATAGATTTAAGCCCCTAACGTTTTATTACATGCAAATTAATCTATATTCTTTATGTAAATAAATCCACAAACTTTCAAAATTAATGTAATTAAGTAAAATTTCATTAATTAAGTAAAATTTCATTAAATTAGACTAACCACCATTAGTATTAGACACATATCATCCAATGTGGATGATGATGTATAACAATCAAACCACGTTGATCGATTACATGGCATTTTTGTTGAACTAAGAAAAAAATCATTAAAAAAATGTTTAGTTAAAAAAAGTGCTTAAAAAATAAATTAAGAAGTAAAAGCCAATATTTGAAAAACAAAAGGAAAAAAACTAATCAATACTACGATTGGGGAGAGATAGGAGTTTTTGCTGCGATTTAGGGATTCAATCAAGATTGGGGTTTGGTTTAAAGGATCAAATGAATATAAAGCGGACTTTTTTCCTTTCATTTAAGGGATTCATAGTGTCAAAAACAATGACGTCTTTCATTTGATAGTGAAAAGAAAATGGAGAATCTATGCATTTTAACTTAGAGTTAGGTTGATTTAGGATTATTTGGAGAATGAATTTTGGTGATGTAGGGGTTTTTGATGATTTAAAGGTTTTAAAGGTAAGAATTTGGGTGAATTAGAGTTTTTTTAAATATGGGTTTTTAAAGAAGAATTTTGATTGAAACTTGTGCAAAATTTGTGGAAAACGTGTGCCAAAATATGTGCTATTGTTGGAAAGATTTTTTTGGTATTGCTAGAAAGGTATGGGTTTGCTGGTAGAAGTCCTTTGAGTCAAATGATTTTGTATAGACATTAGATTTTTGTTAATTTAGCCTTTTATATTGTGAAAATTTATGACTAATTTTATATTGAAGAAATTTTTTATGTGCTACATAAGTTTTGCCATGTATAGTCGAAGAGAAAGGCATCATTCTACTAGAGAAAGTGCTACTACCAAGTGTAGACACTCATTTATGTTCAGGCCTAATCAAGACAAATATTTTTTGTATATATTATTATAGTATAACAGTATGTTACTATTACTATTAGTATTATTATATTATATTATATAATATAATATATTATATCATATTAGTACTATTATACTTATTTATTTATCATTATTAGTATATCATATCATATTATTATTATTATTATTTACATTTTTTTCTTTTTTTTTTCTTTTTTGTTTGAATCTATCCAGGGATAAAGAAATCTGAATTTGACTAGAATCACAAATCTTTAATGCAAAGTCAATTGGTGTAAATGCTAGAATTAACTGGGATCAAATCAGGGACTCAAGATCACGCTCAGACAGAATTAATCCTAGGATTCAAGCCTAAATTGATTCTGTCCGATTTTTAAAAATCCTCCTAAGGTTGTTTATAAATTGAATGAGAAATCATAGAACAACACATTATAAAAAAAAAAAAAATTGCTTGTGATAATTCTTTTGATATTTTTTTGGCAGTAGGAATTCTGAGGTTTCGGTATTGGGATTTGGGGTTCGATTTGAAGTTTCTAGCTTGAATTTAGGCTTTTGAAGTTAGGTTTAAGGTTTTAGGAGGTTTTGGGAAAGATTTGGAGCTTTTTGGAATATTTGAGTATTTTTTTATTTTTGATTTTTTTTTGGGGTTTAGGAAGAACATTTGAATTTTTCGGTAAAACTTTTTGATGAGTTTCAAAAAACCAATGGATTTTCTCGTTTTCATTTGAACTTTCCAGTGAAGTTTTCAAAAATCGATGAGTTTTTCAGTTTTTGATTGAATTTTTTGACGTTTTTCTTCAAAATTTAAAGAGAAGTTGGAGAAAACTAAGCCTAGAGAGAGAGGGAACGAGGTGCATCTGAGGCCAAAATGCTGAGGAGTGGCATTTATAGTGACCCAGAATGACATCATTTTGGACAACCTAAGATCTGTGTGTTGACTTGGTGACCTGTGTGCCAACTCGCGCTTCGACCCGACTCGATAGTAAGGCTTTCTTTTTTATTTTATTTTATTTTTTAGTTTTTATTATTTTTTTGGTTTTATTTTTGAGAAATTTTATTATTTTGTAAAATTTGTTTATGTTAAAAAAAATGATTATAATAAAAAAATCTTTTCAGTAAACAAAAAAATAAAGAAAAAAATCTTTTCAAATAAGTTTTCAAAATAAAAAAAATCTTTTTAAGTTTTTCAAAAAATATTTGTAAAAACAAAAAAATTCTTTCAATAAAAAAAATCTTTTTCAAATAAAAATACCTACAAAATAAATTTGTGAATTCTACCAAACTATTGGAGAATTTTCATAAATTTAATTTTTAAAATGGAATCCACCAAACTATTGAAAAATGTCATAAATCAGTGTTGTAACGGTTTTGTGTTCGCCTGACAAATTTAGAAACGAAATAAAAAATAATGGAGTCGCCACCAATCTTTTTTGGCTAGGTGCGAATGGTCACCTATTAAAACATATCATTTTAATGAAATCTTAAAATTAATTAAAATTTATTAAAATAATAATTTTAGGATCTGTGCAACAGTTTGGGTTCAGGAGTCAGTTACGTGTGGGGAAGGATTAGCACCCCCACAATGCCTGTTTAAAACGGCACCAATTAACTATGTGTTATCCTTTGATTTTGATAAAAAATAGTCCCATTTTTTTGTTTGAAAAATAAATTTTTTGATTTTTTTATTTATTGGAAATTAGTTTTTTATTTATTATTTTATTTTTTGTCAAGAAAAATAAATTAAAACCTTTTTATTGAAATAATTCTTAAAATGTTCCAGTACGTTGGTGACATTAGAAGAACTTTTTTCTCACTTAGAGATTTCTTAGGCATCGCTTTTCGAAATACCTTAAAATCTCATCCTTTGAGGCTTAAATTTACTTTTCGTTAAAAATTATGTCATGCATGCAATGTAAAATGTTACCATGTTGATGCGCACAATTTATTCTTTTTTTTTTAATTTTATTAATTGTTTTATTTAAATTTTTGAAGGAAAAAAGAAATTTTTGTTATATTGAAGTTTTTTATAAATATTTCAATACACTGATAATATTTAAAAAAAATCTTATCACCTAGGGATTTCGTAAAGCATCACTACTTGGAATACTTTTAGAGTCCTATCATTGGATAAATTTTTTTTTCTCATTTATATTATTATTAATTATTTTTTATTTACAAAAAGATAAATTTTATTGTATTGTAAATTTTTTATAAAATATTCCAATACACTGGTAGTATTGAAAAAAATCTTCTCACCTAGAGATTTTGTAGGCATCACTACTCGGAGTTCATTTGAATCTCATCGTCGGGTAAAAATTTTTCTTTTCTTTTTTTATTAATTTTGTATTATTATTAAGTTTATTTTTTATTTTATTTTTTATTTTAAAAATTAACAAAATTATAAAAAAAATTTAACTACATATTTATCAGTTAATCTAACAAATATAAATATTTTTAATATACATAAATATTAATAAAATAATATATAAAAAAATTCAAAAAAATATTTTTTACTTGAACCGAACTAGTCAAAGGTTCAATAACGAGTGGTT